GTTTAAAGAGCAGGAGCCAGTAGAATTGTGTACACATTCATGGATCCATCTTGGAAATTTGGAGCCTGGGGAGGAGGCGCCTGCCACAAAGAGGTGACTGTGGAGTTCCTCCTCAGAGACCCCAGGCCTTACTGGCCCTAACAGGTTGACTCCCTTTGAGCCTCTTGCCCCCCAGCCTCAGCCCACCTCACATTTGACCCCTCTCTCCCTTTGTGGTGTGAGGCATGGAGACCTAGCCCATCTGCCCTCTGGCCACTGGCCTCCCACTCAGCCCTGGGGCAACGCTGGCTCTCCCCACTCCTTTTTTCTTGCCTTCCTGCCCTCCTCTCCTGGAAGGCTTCACCTGCCACTTAACCATTTGGGGGGCACAGGCATCACTCCGAGGACACTCTGGGGTCACCTCCCCCAGCCCCAGCAGGCTGCCCGGGTGCCGGCCTGTCCTTTGTGTTCTGTGATGTGAAGCTCCCCATCACCCGGGTCGAGCCTGCTGATGTGACTGCCCTCCCCACACACACACCCTCCTGGGGAGTGCAGGGGACAGGCCAGCTGGAGATTGAGAACACTGTAGTGGGTGCCGGGGAGCTGACCTGCCTGGGCCTCAGCCCTGGACGAGCAGTGGGACATGGGCTTCGATGCCCGGGGCTGCTGGGACAAATGCCACAAGGGGGTGCTTTCAGCACCGAAATTCATTTTCTCAAATGAAGTACCCGTCAGGCTCGGGCCACTGCCTGCCTCCCTCCCAGGTAGTCCTGTACACAGCCCTCTCCATCTGTCCCACTTGCTCTGTGGCTACGCTGTGCTTAGGTTTGGGACCCAGCATACACGGAATGACTTAAAAAGGCCCATTGCATCTGATTGCACTATGGAAGGAAGGGCATCACATTGTGTCCGCGGCTGTAGGGCTGAGGATCCCAGGGTGTATTCTGGGTGGCACAATTTCATCCACAGCAGATGGGGTGGTGCTTGGGGCAGAGAGCCCAGCTGCTAGGCGTGTGTGGACCAGGGCACTCTGAGCCCCGGGATGGGAGCTGGGGGAGGGGAAGGAGGGCCGAACTTTCAGAAGTCCCCAGGGGTTTTTCAGAGGGCCCTCCCTGCCCGGCCCAGCAGCCAGGGCCCCAGCAGGAGCCACTCAGATTGGGTAACTTGAGAATTTAGTAAAGGGACAATGGTTTTCAAAAGTTCAGATAGAAAACAAAAGTGGGAAGACGGGGCCCAGGTGACTTCTAGTGGGGCAGCAGGGGGGGCAGGGGGCAGTGCTCACTGAAGACCATGCTGTGGACATGAGCCTTCCTAACAGGCTGGGGCCCAGCCAGCCCACATGAAGCCTCCCCCGGGGTACCCACTCCCGCCAGCAGGGCAGGTCAAAGTCAAGCTGAAGCCAAGGGCCAAGAGTCCACGGATGAGCTCCAGGCATGCGTCTCCCACTGCTCAGAGATCTGAGAGACCAATGAACGACCGCTGGCACACCCCATTCCCCCCGAACTTGAGGCAGCCCACCAGAAAAGATCGTTAAAACACCAAGGTTAAGGGTCATGGGCTGAGAGTGAGCTTCACGTGAGGCTCTGAGCTTCCGGCAACCAAGCCAACGTGGGAAACTTGAGGCAAAGTCGCCTCAGTGGGTTAGAGTTGACTGAACCCTGTAACCTCACTCCACATCTCGACCTCAGTTTCTTCATTTGTGAGATGGGGGAGATGCCTCTTGACCCTTTGAGCCCAAAGATGAGGTGAGGAAAAGGAGGGGTTCCAGGCAGGGTGAGGACGAAGGGCTTGACCTCTAAGAGGCTCTGCCTTACTGTTTTCCACAAGGCCCATCCACCCCAGGGACATAGCTGGACACTGGCTGGAACTTCGCCAGATGACCACCCCTTGCTGCAAGGGAAGATGGGTAACTGAATATATTCCCTCTGCCCATGTAAAACTCAGTATTCTCAGTAAGGAGGAAGGGGTCGTAGATGACCCCAGGTCCCTGACCCCCCAGGCCAGGCTCTGGACAGCTGACCAGGCACCCAGGCCAGGCTCTCCTCCTTAGCAGGCCTGGTGGGAGGCAGAGCGCTCCCGGTGTCTGGGCTCAGCAGAGTGAAGGGCAGTCACCTGCTCAGGTGATACGGCTGACTGGATCAAGCAGCTCTACCTGGGACATGAGCCAGTGATGGGAGAACTCTCAGCTTCCACGCAGGAGACCTCGGTTCAATTCCCAGCCAATGTGCTTCCCGAGTATTGACCCCACTCAAATGTGAGGGGGACGCAGGGGGGATGTGATGCAGGATAGGTTTCAGTACAGCTTCCAGACTAAGATACTGGGAAGAAAAGCCTGGTGATCTCGGCTTGTGAGTCGGGTTGGCCGGCTAACACACACACAGGCACTCAGTGAGTAGGAAGCCGGGCTCAGGCTGCCATGGCCATTGGTACTACCGATGTAGGCAGAGGGTGAGAGTGACGGGCCATGAGGGTGGCAGGGAGGGTGGCTTGTAGAAGGGCAGAACCAAGGCTGGATCCCAAGAAATGGCCTTGAGCCAGACTTGGGGTGGGGGGTAGACCCCAGCAGGTGAGATTTCATGACAGGTTATTAACATTGGAAGAGGGGGGGCGGCTCACTGACTGAGAGACAAACTTGCCTATCAGCAGATGATCAGATAAACGGATACACCGAGGTGCATTCATCCGCAGGACACTAACCGGTGGAAAGGAAGATGGGTGAATCGTGAATCGGTGACATCCCACAACAGGGATGGAACGGAGGAAATAAGTCATCTCAAAGACAACCCTGTGAAAAGCCAAGAAAAGGTCGACTCACAGCAAGAAACAGTGTCTGACGGTCACCGGGGGCAGAGGGGAGATCACTGTCCAGATGGTATTAACTTGGGTGAAGGGAGAAGCCCCACATGGCAGAGGAAGAAACCAGAGAGCGAGAGCAGCCACGGTCAATGCTGCCCCGGACTCAGCCCTGCGGGCACAGTGCTGGCCCACACTGAGTCATGACGGGGTGGGGGTGGGGGTGGGGTGCTCGGAGCTGACTGGGTGTCGGGCATATGGGAGTGCACCCTGGAGAAGAGGCTTTTTTCTACATTCAGATTTATTTGTCAATGCTGCAACTATACCCCGGTGTAGCGTGGAGCATGCAGGGAGCAGTTATGCAAACTTCTTAGCCATGACCCAGCGTCGGGGTGAGGGGCTGGTCCCCAACACGCGAACGGGTCCTCAGGAGCGACTCTGCAATTGTGAAAAATAAGACAGACAGACAGTGAGCCACAGAGGCTCGCTCCTTGTCCCTGTGTCAGACCGAGAGTGGGAATGTGTTTTCCGATGGGCATATACTTGGATAATGGGGCTTACAGCTTTCTCCAAAGGCATGTGCATCACACAGTGAACGTAGAGGGCAATATCCTAAGCGGATAACTTAACAGGCACTGAGGAGTCATCATCTTGACCTCGTGCCAGTTGACCTGGAAACCCCTGAGCCCTCCCCAGGGGGCTGCTACCTGTGACGGTGGGTTGGCTGTCGAACCTTCAGGCATAGTGAGTAGCCTGACACCGGGATGCTTCATCTACTATGGTAGCTCCTTTAAGACTGCTCCTGAATGGAGGGGCTATTACAGGGGGCACGTTTTCGGGCTAGGGAATGTGTATTTGAAAACATTTCTCTCTCAGAACAAAGGAGATCTTTCTCAAAACAGGGCTAGTTGTCCATGCCTGTAGTTGCGAGTGTAGAAATAAGATCAAATACACTCTACCGAGTCCTCGGTTTACCTCCACCCAGCACCTTGAGAGACCAGCTGCAAAGCAACCACGAGTCCCTCCCCACCCTCGGGGCAAAGACGAGTAAAGAGAATCAACGTCATAAGGAAGCAGTTCGTCAAATACAGATGGACTCTTCAAACCTCAGCCTCTGCGAGCCTGAGACCGGAAGAACGAGATGGTGCCCGGCTGTCACTGCCCGCACTCTGATTGGGATCTCAACAGAAGGTCTTGGACTGGGAAGGAGGAAAATACAGGACAAAACTTAGATCGTAAAAAAGGCCAGACTTCCTAGTCTGGCAGAATCCCCGGGGACTGTGGCCCTCAGACCCCCTTCAAGCCTAGAACTAAAGCCCTGCCCAGAGATCCTCTTTCAGCCCAAAGCTAGAAGGGCTGTCAGGTGAACAATTCCATCCCCAGGAACCTACTTCCCAGAGCGGAAGGGGCGGGAAAGAAGACCAAGGGGAACATGGGAGCCCGGAAGAAGTGGGCTGCGTGCTGCTGCATCCAGGGCGTCAGGAACAGTGCACAGACCGAAATGTGGGTACCTGGCTGCATGCGTAACTAATCTGCTCCGTTCATTTTCACCCAAACCTCCACAGACAAGTCCATGATTTATCATCTGCAAGTCTAAAAGGACTCTTTCTGGTTTGTTTTTACTTAAGGTCAGTTTATTGTAAATGCAAGAACATGTAAGTATTTTCTTTTTTTCTTTTAAAAAAATCATTTTATTAGGGGCTCATACAACTCTTATCATGATCCATACATATATCAATTGTATAAAGCACATTTGTATATTTGTTACCTTCATCATTCTGAAAACATTTGCTCTCCACTTAAGCCCCTGGC